GTGTGTGTGTGTGTTTATAACATTTCAGTTTGTGGAGGTTGGAACTCTGTGTAGTCCAGTAGGGAATGCATCAATGTATGGCCCTGAGACCAGGGACCTGTGGGAAGACAGAGGGAGATTACAGTTCTGCCTCAAATCAGTGCAATAATCCTAGAGCTGCTTGACAGCATCAGAGGAAAGCCTACTCTGGAGAGTTTACCCTCAGAAAACCATTCTGGACAATACTAGTTAAATCCCCCAAAGTCCTCCTATTATCATTTACCTACTTTTTCCACAGTGTGCTGCTCATCTTGGTGACATGCACCATACCCAAATCACAGGATCATTACCTCCCCCCGGCTGTGCTGGAATCTCTCCTGATAAGATACCCCTAAAATTGGAGATGCCCATGGTTACCTGTTACGTCCTACAGATGCTCCTCCAACCACAGGTTAGCCAGGCCTGTTCACACACCTGGAGCCTAGGAAGACCCTTCCAACTGTTAATGGTCTTTGTTACTCTACTGGAGCCCAGATCTTAAGACAAAGGAAAGGCTGGGCAGCCTGTCCAAATGACCAACACCATGGAAAACACAACCTTAGCCTTCTCCTCCTTGCAAGCCCAGGGAATTGGTCAACACAGCACTCAGAAGAAAAGAGATCCATGTTAAATTCAATTCCCATCAATATTTCAGAGAAGTCTGACCTGTGACACAGTAAGCAACTTCCGGGTGTCATTTGGGAATGGCTCAACTGGGTCCAGAGCCTACAGAGGATGGGTGCCTATTGCCTCTGCCACATCCATATCCAGCAAGCGAAATACCTCCCTGGAAATGTTAGTGAACTGGATGGAAATTAATTCTAGTTCCTGTCCATTCCTAGGGACTTAAAACTTGATAAGTGGCTCACCAACATTTATTGAGAGCTTGGTGGCACAAATATGTCTGAACAAAGAAGCTGCCATGGGCTCAGCCGTGACACACAACGCATGGAGCTGCAGTGGTGGCATCGGACCTGAGTCAAGTTAAAACAGTCTACTTTGAGCCTCGCAGAGGATTTGGGAAAAAAATTATTTAAAATACCAAAGGCATTCAAAGGGCTACAAAATATTTGTTAAGAAATGCTGCCTTCTGGATGGAGTCATTATGTTAATGGCAATTATTAAAGCTAAGGTTATTCATAATTTGCTAACCTGAGGGGGAGGGGAAATCACATCTAGTCCATTACCAGCCAGATGACAGAGGTTATGTAATGGGCAGGCCACTTTAGGTTTCACATTTACTTCAGACATCTGACAGGGAGAAAATAGGACTTTCTGTGATAGGATAATTGCATGGTGGAGAGTAATTCAAATTGGGGACGAGTATGATAAAATCACTCTGATTCAACTAATCACTGGGAAAAGTGATGGGGGAAATGATGAAATCAAACCAGAAGGGACAGGAAAAGATCAACATTGTTTAACAGCCAAGAGAGGACAGGCATGTTAAAGGACATGGTTACTGTAGCCATCTTTTTTTTTAGCCCGAACCGAACCAACTTTCACAGACTACAGTTATTAGTGTTGTTTTCTAAATGGCTACTGCTGGTCTCGTATATATCTTATACACATCAATGGAAATTTTACTAATCAGTGTTGTCTGTGAGCTAGGCTTTAGTAAGTATGTTCTTGAGGCCTCCCAGCCCATTCCATCACTGAGTCGGTACTGGCAGGAAGGTACCGGGGGAACCCAGGATGTCTCGCCTGCCTCATATTGCTGAGGGTGGAGATGGTGCTTAGGAGACAAGGTTGCTACGCACAGTGCATTGCAGTGACAGCAAATTCTAAAGTCCATCCTCTTCCCTGGTCACATGAGAAGCGGGTGGCCACTCGCGGGTGGCTCGGGACAGGAAGGGCCCTATTGCACAGGGGTGCATTCCAGCACAACACTTAAGTGGTGACTCCTCTGCAAGCCCACAGGAAATTTGGATTTGAGACTTTTGCTCTCTAACTGCTTCCAAACCCTACAGACAAATAGCAACCTTTCCAATTCAAGAAGTGAGGCATTGATGTAATATGAAAAACAGTCACACCACCAGCTTCCCTGGCCTCAATAGAAGTCAGCATCCAAGAGACACCTCAGTGGCCACCTCTTCTTGCTCCACAAGTTAAATGGCACGTGACTGCTGCTGACAGCAGTTCACGGCTTCCATGGGGGCCATACAAACAAAACGTCCAAACTGTGTCCAGACCCACCCCGTGTTGACAAGTCCACTTTCCTCTGTAATTGTCACTAGGCCAATAAACTTAGCTTTTATTATGCATCAAGGGTACTTATAAAGGGACTCATATATCTATTTTAGAGTACATAAAATACACTTTTCAGGGAACCTTGGAAGCCTGTACCCTGGGAAAATTTCAATATAAACAGAGCTACTTTCCAAAGGAACCACACTAACCATATCATTTTTTTTAATTAATTAAGTTAAGGCCAAAAAGATTTCAAAATTTGATCCCCTCCTATGGTCACCCAGGAGCTCCCTGAAGCTTCAAAACTCCCTCAATATTAAATGTTCAGACACTGGAAGGTTCCTCAACTAAGAGTAACTGTTAACTGAACACTTCTTGTCTGCCAGGCACCGGACTGTGATGAACACATCAAAGAGATACACACAGAAACACCGCTATCCTACCACCTGGTAGAGAAACTCTGCTGAGAGTGCCATGTGGCCTGGGCAAGGCTGTGCCACCCCTGGCCAGGGCTGTGTGCTCCTCTCCAAACTAATGACAGTAGCAGTCATTAGTACTGTCATTCCCAGGTTCCATGTGCTCAATGGAGAATGAAATGAGACATCAGGTTGGGACTTGGTGAATAATGAACTCCATACACATAAGTTGCAGAAACTAAGTCAGGGACTCCTCCCAACCTCTCCCAGCAGGTAAGTGAGGATAAGAGATCCACCATGCACACTTAGCTTTTCTCACTGGCTTTCTATCTCAGGGCAGAACTAAGATTGGGAACATTGCTCTCCACTTCCAGAGACCGCATCCCACCTGCAACCCGGGGAACCTGCCTCTCAGAGATTGGGTCCAGGTCCTGGTGCTGGCTGAGCCTCCATACCACGTGCCATGCTACACCCACCTCCTGAAGCCCCCTTCCCTGGGGTTTCCTTGTCTATCAACTGCAGAGGCAGAACCTAAGGCTATTTATGTCCTTCTCTGTGATTCACAAAGAAATGCAATTTGAAAAAAAAAAAAAAGAAAGAAATGCAAGTTGAAAAGAATAATAACATTTCCCTCCTTTCAAATGGACGGTGTTGTTACTAGTATTTAAAGTAAAATAAAACATTTTTTTGTGAGGATTCAAGGAAATGAACATTCATATAACACTCCTGCTGGAGTGAATACAAACTGGCTAAAGTTCATCTAAAAAGAAATGCTTCCACATGCATGAAGTGCATGAAGAGCCTTAAAGATTTGTTTGAGTCGCTGATCTGTTTTCTGTGACTGGGAATTCATCTTAGGGAGTTAGGGTACAACTCACAGGATGCTGACATGGAAGGGATGAAGAATGTTAACTCTGGGGCAGAAGCCCAGAGTCCATCCCTCACTCCCCAAGTGACCTCAGAGAAGCACCTTCTTCATCTCAGACTCCTGTTTTATGAAATGGGGACAATAATAATAATCTCATCACAGCGTCATTAGAAGGATAGGCGAGTACATGCAAAAGCCTTAGAGAAGCACCCAACATGCAGTAAATGCTGAGGTGGTTGATCTATGATTAACATACAAGAAGATTCACTGAAGCAACATTCTTTATATCAAACTTAACTACTTAAAAATCCAAATATACAGAACAGCCCACTTAATAAGGACTCATATAGATTGATATGCTATAAGCCAATACTATGACGGACTTTCAAAAACACGGTTCTGACTATCAGATCTGAATGGCTACAAGGCTGGCATGTCTGTAAAGGCTAATGTTTTCTTCAAGGTAGTGGCATAAAGACACACCACAGGCTAACATGCAGCTCCTAGGACTGGCTGGCTGTCAGCATAATATTCCTGTGGCAGATACTAGTACTTTTTCCTTCTAAGGCACTTCCGAGTTTCCACCAAGAAGTTCCACCTTGAGACTTTCATTATGAAAAAGATCAGCCATCTTTATGAAAAAGATTCAGTGCAATCACCACTGCACTGAAGCAGTGCAGTGGTGACTCAGTGCACACCGTTTATGTGTCAGATCTGGGGTGAGTGGTCCACAATCATAACGTTGTTTCCTCTTCACTCTCCCTGGTGAATCTTCCCCATTTCACAGATGAGGAAACTGAGGTTCACGAAGGCTGTTTTCCTAAGTTCAAGGCTCAGAGTGTGATACTGAGCTCATTCTCTTACCTACTAAACTGAAGCCCTCCTCCCCTACATTAGAATAGTCCACAATGGCTTTAGAGACAAGAAAATAGGTGGGGCTATACAATCTAAATCCAAAATAGAAAACTTACGTGGCCAATAAAGTAGGAAAGAAGTGAAAACAGAAGTAGTCTTTTATAGCAAAGTGATTCTGGAGACAACTATTAAAACTGAGAGGTTAACAAAGTACATTAGATATAAAAAGCTCTTCAGATCACAATTCTTTCCCATAACCCTTGCCAATATGGTATTGGCAAATTGCTTACAATAATCACAGGTCCTAAATCTAGAGTATAAGACTATCCTGTTTAGGTGGCAACAGTAAATAAAGTAGAATTCATCTTGGAAGTACAGAAAGATACACCTGTCACTACAGTTCCATTTGCCCTGATGTAATATGAAATTCCAGAAAGCTCCTAGCTGTCAAGACAAATGTAATTATAGCAACATCCCAATACAGGAAAAGAGAATCTCTGACTTCATCTAGACTCAATCCCTTCATGAGATTTTCAATTCCTCATTTTGGGAAGTATGTCAATTGCTTATAGTTGCTTACTTGAAGCACAATGTACCTTTGAAATATTTTGGCAGTTAGAGAAAACATTCACAGTCATAGGCATCCTACTTACCCTCACTGCCTCAGACTTTTTGTGAAACATCTCTTCCATGTTCTTTGCCAGCTTTTTCACCAGTTGGAGTCCATCGATTTCCTCTATGGCAACATCCTTCTCGTACTCTTTGTATTTCTGTAAGGAGGAAAAACAACATTAAAAGCACAGGACACAACAACACAGCATACTCACAACTCAGACCACAGCTACCCACCAAGAGTGTACGTGTATATGTGAGACAGAGACAGAAAGAGACAGAGAGAGCACATGCCAGAAAATGCTCCATTTCTTAGGTAATATTGCCAAGTCCCTGAGACAACAACAGCAATTGTCCTGAAAAGGACATTAAAGTTTGAGGACAGAAGCAGTAACTCTATAGAAATGAAAACAAAGAGAATTCATCTGATCTTAAGACTGAATTGAAATCCTTACAACCTGTGGCATGTGGCTATACAGAGTTCCCAGCCCCCAACACTGGGACACTGGCAGGTAAGGAAGGAGGGGAGAAATGCCTTCAGACTGGGCATTTGGCCTAAACCTGAACATCATGCCCAAGGGCTAAGAGTTTCTCAAGATTAAGGTCATCCCGAAGAAACAGACATGTGTAATCCTGGACAACTGAAGTCTGGATCAACACAGACATCTGCCACCATCTTCCTGAGATGTTCTGAGCTGCTCTGAGAGGCCCTACAAGTAGACCATGTTGTAAGCACCATGCTTCTTCCTGCTCCCTGAAAACCTCCAAAAAAAATCTTCAGTATTTGTCTCTTCTTACATCTCACCTAGAAAACCAGTTTTGCTTCTAGCCTTCCCCTCCTCCTCAACAGTCTTGTCCTTGTTTTCCTATGAAGAGGGAGCACCCACCTCCAAGCCCCAACACACACTGCTCACTCATCTCCCCTGGCATCAAAGCTTATATGGCCCAGGAAAAGAGGAGAGGTTCTCCTGGCCACCCATCAGCCCACAGGGGACACTCCAGGGATGAAGCTAAAACAGAACAGTTGAATGCTACAATACAAGAAGCATGCGAGTAAGGAAGATTCCACATCATCCGATGGCCCTGTAAGGATGGCCTCCTCACCCCTGAGAGACTGGATTGGCCTGAGCTGTAGAACTCCAGCCAGCTCAACCCTATCTCAAGCTAATAGCGTCCTCTGGTGTATGAATTCCAGTGACAACCACTGGAAACTTTCCCCAAGTTCAAATGTGAGCCAATATCTTTGGAGCCAAAAATCCTGGGGGTTCTCTGCTGCCTACCAGATGTGCTCCAAGAGCTAACAACCAAGACCAGCTTATACCCAAGGCTGGTTCACTACCAAAGCACAAAGTTCAAGAAAGGAGTAAAACTAAACAAAACTAATATCAGCCTAATATTTACAGAGCTAGTGAAATGAATCTGTCTCAAGTACATTGTAACTAAGGATGGTCTAAGGCTTGGGATAAAGAAAAATGAAGTGGATTTCACAGTTAGCCCTTACCTGAATCTTCTGTTTTTTATCTCAGGCCCCAGTATTCTGTTCAAATTGTTACTTGGTGTATGTGTCTTTCCCAATAGACCTCTAGTAGAAATTCGATTTACTTAACTCTGATCATCACCCATTTTTCACTGAGATCTTTCTGTTTCTCTCTATTTCCGAGTCTCCTCTGTGAAAAAGAGCCATTGACTTTATGAAGAGTTGTCAGTCTCCCAGGACTACTTGTGCCTGATGAACTAGCTAACTAATCTCTGCACAAAGCTCTTTGCCAAGCTTATCAATTGACTGATTCCATTCTCCAACCTCTCCCTTCAGGCCATGTGACCACCTCTTGGACACTCTTCCAAACCTATACTACTTTCTCACCACCAGGGGAAGATACCCCATAACCGAAAAACACCCTGTTGAAATCAGAACAAAAAAATGCCTTACTCTTACTGGAAAATGCTATATTTTGTTGGAATTAAAGGATTTTGAAAAACAAAGACAGTAAATAACAGATAGTTATTAACCTCAAGCCCTTGGCACTTCAAAAGTGATGATCTACAGGAAAACCATTAAAAACGTGCCTGTAGTACAAAACCAAGCAACTTGAACTCCAGCAACTAGAAACAAAGTACAGAAGCATACATATAGTATGTTCCAGTAGATTATGGACAGTAATTGGTGACTTTTTGCTGCACTTACAAACATACCACTGGGAAGGTGTGTGCCAAATGTTCACAGCTGGCTATGACTTTTCCCTTTCTTCTCACTTACCATATTTTTTGATTTCTATAATAATCATACTATTTTGGAAATTAGAAAACATCAAAGTTGAAGTTATATATAGAATTTAATATGGGCATCCAGTAAATGGATTTCTTTAGGGGCGTGTGGTCCCAATTAGAATGTATGTAGTTAAGCAGCAGGTCTGCACTGGCAGAAACTAAGAAAGCCAGTACAATTAGTCTTCCATGTATCCCAGCCCAGCCCAGCCCAGCACCAGAAGTGCTCCCATATCCATTTGTCTAATTCTCACAGCTACCCCAAGAGGTTAGTACTATTCCTATGTTGCAGATGAAGAAGTAAGGCACCAGCAGGTTCAGTTAGCTGTTGAAAGTCTAGTAGTTAGATTGTGTTTAAGCCTTCTAGGATCCCACTTTTAGCTGCGTATAGTCTTTTGAACTTGGAGATAGAGGGTGAAGGACCAACAGTCCAAATATTTGCAAATTTGTTTCAGAGGGTCCATTTCCCTGACCTAACTAACAAGCCTAATTTGTTGATTTTGTAGCCAGCAGTGGCTTGGACTTGCCAAGAGAGTCAAAGACCAAAAATCAGAGACTTGTCCATGAATGAGCTGCATTGGCACAAGCAGGACTTGGCCAGGAGATGTTGGGTGTGGCAGTAGCCCACCAGGTCCCACCACAGAGCCTCTGACAAGCAGAGCTTGGAGCTGGGCCCAAAGGAGCAAACAAGGCTCTTGACAAAAATACCGGAAGGGAGAGGAGCAACCAGCACTGAAAGTGGCCTGAAGCCTGAGTGATAAATTACTCCATAGCTGTGCTTCGGTGCCAAATTGCCTTCTGTTCCCCAGGGCACCAAGTAAGTCCTGGAGGCAGAATCCTGTTAACTCCTTTTATTCCAGGATGCACCCCCCCCCCCACCCTCCCCTCACCCCCAGCTGTGCAGGCAATTGGAGAGCTCCAAGAACCACACTATCAATTACTCTGTTTCGCATAATCGCAGACACCCTTTAACTGGGAAGAAGAGTCAGGAAAGCATGATTAGGTCCTTGTAAACCCACAAAAGCAAATAGAGGGGAAGAGATAACCTCTGGATTTGGATGCTATCTGCAACACTCCATCTACTTCTGTAAACATCTGTTTTGTGTCTCTAGGTCATCAGGCAGGATGGCAGACAGCAAACATAAAAGGATGAGTAAAGCAAAGCTGAAGAAAGTTCCTGTGCTGAGTCAAGAGTGTTTTGAAGATAGAACAGATCAGGAAGATACAGTGTGGTATCAGGACCCGCTGTGGTGTCAGATCCCAGCTGGCTGTATCCTTCAAGAATATCTAGTTTGGGGTGGTGGGACACACCATAGGGAGTGAGCATGCAAGAAGAAGGAGGTGCAGGTATGGAGGCTCCAGGAACTATCTACTATTCAACTTGGCCAACATGGGGAACTTGGTGAGCAATGAAATAAAAGAGGGGAGTATGGCCAGGCAGCCAAGTGTATGAAGAATTCAGATCTCATCCTGATTTCAGTAGCTGGGTGGGGGTGTGGAGGCAAGCAACATTCAGAGCCACTGAAGGGTGTGAGGACAGCAGGGACTCAATGACCAGATGTGTGTTTTTGAAAACTTCAGTGTGCAGAATGACAGAGTGGAGAAAGGCACGGACTTCAGAAGGTGAAGTAGCCAGGTCTTTGGAGACATTGATGGGGAAAGTCCAGGGGAGCCAGAAGAATGCAAGGTGGGCTTCTTGAAAGACTTGGGGGGCAACTGAGAGACATCAAGATGTCTGAGTGTCAGAGACAGCAGCAGCATTTGGGGTTGGTTGGTCATGTTACATCAGAGAAATCATAACCTTCAGGGACTCAGTATCCTGATCAAAACTAACAATCCTCACCCCAGGATGGCTCTACAGTTGTCCAGGAAGGATGTCTAAGAAAGTCCCCAACACATGCCTGCACTAATGCATCACTCCCAACCCTCACAGTCCCCTGATTTTCCCTCTTGGTATTTCTGCTGCAGAACAGTCTAGTAAGTGTTCTATTTTTGCAATAAAGTCTTCCTGAAATGAAGCTCTTCATGAAAGAGACAAATGCCATCAGGATGGTTGATGATGGTCCTTGACTCTGCCACAGCCTTCTCAATCCCCTGCACCCCCTACCCCACTGGGACAGTAAGTGACATGCCTGTGACTTCAGCCAAGACTGGGGATGAGGCAGACCTCAGCCCTTCCAAGAGCATGTCTCAGTATTCATGACACAGAGGGACTTTTTTATCCCTTCTCTCACAGATAACATGAGAAGCTTCCATTCCTTCTGTTAGCAGAATCAGCATTTGGCAAGAAACCTTGTGATGAGCCAAGAACATTTATCATGTGAGAAGGGAGACACAGAAATACATTATTTCTGCAGCATCTATTTTGCCAGATCATTTCACACAAACACCAGGCAGAGAAAAGCACTATTTCACTGTCAGAACACTTAATGCTGTTCATATATTTGGGTCATTTTTTTCCATGATAACTGCATACCTAGAAGTAAGTCACCTGGAACAGCCCTGAGAAGGAGAGTACGAGTGGGAGACATCTGACCTACTACAATTAATTGGGAAAAAAGCCAAACATGGAAGAGGGGCTCTGAACACACTCAGTATCAGCAGGAAAAAAGAAAAGTACTTATTAGAGAATGGATGCAGGGAGCTGGTGCATTTGAACATGGCCTCTTGGCCTCATCAAAAACTGAATTACATCCTTAAAGTTGGCATAATTAAATCACTAAATGAGGGCTGACAGAAGGTCATAGGGAGAAGACAGTGAAGTAAGCTACAACCCTTCCCTAGGTGACAATCTCAAGGGTTTGCCTCAGCATCCATGACTTGAGAGAAAATGGTTTGCTTCTCTAGCCCTCCCACAGGCCTCAGGCCCTCCTCTTTCAGTCCTCTGTCCCAG